TGTCTGGGGTTTCATCTTTTATATGAGGTCTTAGTTTCACTTCATGCCATTTTCTATCAAGAAATATAAGTTTCACAATTTTTAAGTTCGTCTTCTGTCATAATGCAAGCATATTGATTTTCTAAAGGCAGCAGCCAATTTCAAGTGCGATTTGGTCTAAGAAATATTATATACAATTATTTTGGAAAAGCTTACCTAATTCCATCTTAATGTTGACACACTACTAATGTGCAAAATTACATCTTTCTGAATTCCTCTTAAAAAATAGCTCACATTGATCTTGTTTCTACAACCATATTTTCCAGCGTTAAATATAAAAATTAAGTAAAATAGGGTGCCAATCACGGTCGGCGGCTAACTAAATTCTCGGACCGGTTACCCTCTGGCAGCGTCGTTAGAAAGAAAGAAAAAGTATAATATAATATAATTAATATTCCAAAAAAAATTTTCATGAATAATAAACGCTTTCTTGATAATCATTTCACCTCAATCAAGGAGTTATTGGCTGTGTAAAATTTATTGATTAAAAACATTAATATTTAAAAAAAAAAACAATTTAAATTATTTAGCAAAAAATGTGTACCAGCAAAATATTGTCTTCTCCACACTTTAATATCAATTTCAGCCTCTTCGATTTTTTGTCGCCTACGGTTGGTGTATGTTCCTCTATTAGCTCTTAATTGGACACGCTTCCAGTAGAGATTTTCTAAAAATTGCATGTCTTCGAAATCATCATTTATACCGAAAGAGTCACCAACAACTTGGATATACATCAGAGATTCAGGTTCACGATCAATATATTTTCGTTGTACTTTGGGGTTAAATCTAACGCGACGATCAGTCTGCAATGGTAAGGTTATTTGATTCTGATTTCGAATCTATTTTTTGAAGTGTATGTAATGTATTTGTACATTCCGTTAGTTATTTACGAACACACACTGAAGTGTAATTATCGATAATTTACCGCAGCATCAGAAGTGGGTTCAATAATTTGTGGTTGGACCTATTACAATAATTAAAGAGATATCGGATCACAAAAACATTAGATCTTTTTTCTCAGTCTACATATATAACCCAAATAAAAATATTGTGATACTTGCCTCTTGAAGTTGCTGCTGTTCTGGAATTTCCTGGTCTACATTTAAATGGTAGCCAATTATAAAGAGAATCACGTGCAACAAGATAGTGGCAAGTAACTACAAAATAAAATAATAAAAAAAAAGAAAAAGAAAGCTGGGTTAGACAAAAGCGGTGCGCATCCGTTAGTAAATAATTTCGGTTCCTTACCGAGAAAAACATGATTTATTGTTTTGTTTTAAGAATGAATTAAAATAAAGTTTTGATTTGATTTCGGTTTGTTTTTCGAAAATATTAAGTGCTTAAAGTTTCAAAGCGGTGAATTTTAAAAGTGGTAAGTTCGATCTTCGGGTATGAGGCTTGACCTTTTTATACGATTCAAGAAATTTTTTTTGAAAAACAATAAATATCGAATCCCGCCAATAAAACCGGATATGTTATTTTGTGTCACCATAATGATATAATTACAAGTACAGAAGTAAGATCAAATCTCCGCTCTTAACATTAACGGGTTATCTCGTTCTCAATCGGAAAAAACAAGTTGTAATTCATTTCATATATGGATTTTCAGTCAATAAAAACAAGCTTTTGCATATTGATATGCGAAAAATGAAGTTTCAGCCATGGCGACTAAATTTTCTAGAATCATGTGATCTCCGATCTACGTATCCTTATGGATCGGGGTGCAGAGACCCTAGATAATTTCGGTTAGCACAGTATAACAGATAGGCTAACTTCCTTCAAATTTACGATATTTTATTAATGGCTATCCGTTTGAATTTGTACTAAATTTAGTACACTAAAAAAAATTTTTTTTTGTGCCAACTATTTAATTAATTTTATTCATAATTTGCTAAAATATTATTTAATATTTATTGTATATATGTATATAATTTTAAATAATATTAATTAGTAAAAATTTAAAATATACTACTTTAATTATATCCTATTATTTTGAAATTTTGTTGTACTAAATTTAGTACAATGATATTTATAGATATTTTATTAAATTTATACTATAATAAACTAAACTATACTTAAAATATATTCTTTAAGTTTATATCTTTACAAATTTAAAAGATGATTGCTAAAACAATTTCTACATATTCCTTTTAGGTATTACAAATGCAGTGATATCTTGTTCTTGTACTGCATAATTTACAACGAAGTTGTGAATAAACTATCTTACCTAGATAAGTTTTTCGTGTTGAAAGAGAACATAACTGATGTTGTTGATTTAATTGTGATTGTGTCTGCATTCTTGGTAATAGATCTTCAATTATTTGACTATGTTTACTAATTATTTCATATGCTAACTGTCGTTTAAACTCAAAATGTGAAACTTATATTTCTTGATAGAAAATGGCATGAAGTGAAACTAAGACCTCATATAAAAGATGAAACCCCAGACA